CCCCTGTGTTCCGACAAATACTAAACTGTGCTTGCCATTTGTCTAAGGAACCTCGCATTAATAAACATGAAGAAGAACACTTTTACCTCCCACTCTCAATGACGGGACAAAACAAAGACCAGCTGTATTCATCAATGGGTCCTTGTTCTGCACATAAAGGCTAATTACATTTTGCTTCAAGCCTACACATGGAAAACTTTACTGCTGCTGTCCCTGACAAAGTCAGCCTGCGCTGTCCCAGCTGACGCAGGGCGGTGACCGCACACAATGAACCAGGCTCTCTCGGAACAGCCCTGGTGCCTTCGACCTGCAGGCTTCTTTCCAAAACGGGGGTGAGGGAGGGTCACCCCGGTGACATCCCCCGGTGACGGAAATGCAGAGGCAACGTGGGCTCTTCAAATCCCATTGGGATTTGGGGCCATTAACGTCAACCTTCCCTGAGGACGGCTAATTTCAGAAACGCACAGCAAGCCCTACTGTGAGCTTGCTGGGCATAGGTTCTTTTTGGGGACAATAGAGTGGCTGATGGCCAGGGCGGGCTGTCACCGCGCTGGGGGCTGCCTGCGCACCTTCCCGTTACCCTGCACAGCCAGCCGGTCTCTTGACCGCCACTGTGCCCGCCCATTGCAGGGTGAGGGCAGCGGGAGTTGTGGGCAGCAAGCTCCCCCAAGGACACATGGAGAGTCGTGGACCCCGCGACCTGCTCCGGGTCAGCCTTCTCCAAAGCCCCCACCCACTTCCTGCATTTTCTGTAACAAGTATTTAAGGATCCCTACTGTCACAGAGAGAAAATAAATTGTTGTGGGACATTTTAAGGCCATTTGTGAAAAGACTTGCCCCTGGAGGGCTTATATTCATAGGTATTGATGAAAAGACATGAAGTCTTATGAGATACATGGAGGGTGGGCGTGAGGGCGGGACAAACGTTTCCCAGAAAACAGAAGAGGGGAGGGACGCGGAGGGGGAAGCTTCCATCTACATGGGATCTCCAAGACTGAAGCACCCCCCTGAAAGCTACAAGAAAGTAGTGATTATTAACTCAGTCCATTCTCCACATTTTTTGCGGATTACTTACTCTGGGAACCATGTACAGTCAGTGTTTGGCCCTAGGCTGCCTTTTTGTCAACAGCTAGTCCATTTCTGACTTGGGAAACGACCGAGCCCTGTGGGGGCCTGAGTCCACCCCCTGCCCCTCCCCCGGCCCCACACACACTGCGCCCACCTCGCCCCGTCCCCATGTCCGGCACTTCTGGCTGGCTCCCCAGGTCAGCGTGGCTGCCCTGTGTTTTCATTCCCTTTGCCTCCAGCAGCCCCTGGCTGGAACTCATCTTTCAACCTCAAACCACACGTCACCCCCTTCAGGAAGGCTTCCCTGATTACCCTTTCCTTTTGTTCGAGCTGGGTGGACTTCCCACTGGCCTCTGCGGAGTCTGGCCATGAGAGTCCTGGCACCAGGAAGCGGGGAGGGTGAGGTCAGGGGTCCTCTCAATGCTGCCGCATTGCCTCTGTGGTTTCCCTGCTCCCTGCCCCGGGCTGAGTGCACCGTCTGGTTTCCGTGGACACCCTGACAGCACAGGGCCTGTCACAGCAGTGATCACACCGGATTGCAATGGCTCCCCACCCCCACCCTGCTGAGCCTTCTTTCTCAGGGCTTCCAGAGCCCAGCTAAGTGCCAAGCACAGAAGAGGCCTCCAGGAATGTCTGCGGCACCAACGAGTGGATCTATTCTGAGTCGTGCCCATCATGAGAGGCTTTTTCTCTCCACGCACAGCCGTATATGCCACACCTCTGGCTCCCTTCTCATCACCGGAGAAGGTGATAATTTCCTGCTCGGATCCCGGGAGGGGACGCACCCCAAGAGTGCCCACGGCCCCATAAGCAGTTTTTAACAATAGCCATAGTCCCAAAGCAAAGCATTTTTACACGATAGAATAAGCAACTCTCATACTTTTTGATTCTACGTTCCGCTTCCTGTAGTTTGGTGAAAATGAGCAAGTAACGCATAGATTTTCATTTATATGGGGAAAACACCTTTTTGGCCTTAAGACATGGGGATACAAAGAGAAAGAGCCTAGAGACGTTTTTCACTGAGCCCACACCAGTTACAACCACACCGTTTCTCGTCAGATGCCAGTAGGGTTGGAGCCTAGGAGAGGTCTAGGGCCTCTGAGGCTCCCCCCAGTGACCTTGCTGATTCAGGGGACCCAAGACTTAATGTTCTTACCTATAAAATGACAGAGCGGGCTGCTTAGGAAAAGCCCAGGAGTCAATGCACCTGTGAACAGTAACTAGAAAAACACTTTAGACTGAAAATCGTCCTCGTCATCTTAAGAGGTACCTCTGACCCTGTTCTAGGGAGCCGATTCCCCTGAGAGCAGGGCCCTGTCCTTCGATAACTGGCGGTTCTGGGTGAGAGAAGCGAGTCCTTCCCCAGCGTCAGCCCGGCCTCTAGCAAGGTCAGACAGGGTGGGGACAGACAATGAGAGACACTGCCTCTCTGGCCTGTCTCCCAGTTGCCCCCCGAGCCGCCATATTCTCAACCAAAGAAATGGAAACCTGTGAGCAGTGGACATTTAAGTCCTTCCTACATGGCTGTTCTCTGCTGCGTCGCTTCCTCAACCCCGAAAACAAACCGATTAAATGGACACACGTTTTCTACGTGGCCTTTAGAAGCCCAGTAAAAAATTATGAATGTAAACCAGGGGCCAGTACTTAGCAATCATGTGACAAGTGGCATTATCTGCTGTCATTTCTGAACAGTTTCGGTAGATGCTATGTGTCACCAGGCCGTTTCTCTCCCCTAAGTAGGTGGACGTTCGTGACTAACAGCATCTCCCCAGCGTGCCCCGCGAGGACACGGTAGGAGACATCGGCTTCTGAAAGTCAAGCTTTTGTAACACTCTCAGAGCAGTGGCTTTCAAAAGAAAATTCTGATTGAGATCCACTGGAAGAACTACATTCTACACTGTGGCCCAGTAACTGTACGTTTACATTTTTACAGTTAGACACACGATTAACCCAAAAGGGTCACAAAACAATACCCGACTTTCCTATGTGCCATGAGCCATGATATTTTCGACTCTATTCTGTTATTTTGTTTTCTATTGAATTTTACTGCCCAACTGGCTGGTCGCCACTCACTAAATGGATTTCACCACTGTGACACCCAGTTTCAAAAACGCTAGCTTAGAGGCGCTCAGAGACTGGTTGTACGTGCTTTTACATGCGTAGTAATGCAAACTTTGGTTAATTATAGAAACACAAGATGTATCTATGTCTTCCAGAAAGAGGTGTGGTTTGCTAAAAATAAAATATTGAAAACTAGTGAAATAAATAGATCACCACCGAAGTCACTATGAATTTTGTCAGTGAGTAAACTGATGTTAATAAGAAGGCATGGGCCAGAGGACCAGAAGGAACTATTTTAGAAAGGAAATGCTATAAACTGAGGACTGTATCAGATGGAACAGATACCGATTGACCTCTGTATCAGATGAAAATATTGTAACTTACAAAACTGGAATTTACTGAGAAAAACAACCACTATTCTACTTAGTAGATAAGGTCCAGACAGAAAGGATAGAAAAACAAAGATGGTGGACTGGCAGAGTAGGGAAGCCGGACGCGGATACCAGGGAACATCAGGGTGAAAGCAGCTGAAACGGCTTCTGCGGAGCTTACGTCCAGGGGGGTGAAGGGGAGACAGCTCTGCACGTTTGCCACATCCCGTCGACAGCGACGCCCAGGTTGGAGAAGTTAATACGAGAGCCTCCGGGTCTCAAAGTGAAATCTCAACCAGCTATCCCACCCCTTAGAGCCAGCTCGTTCTACCTCACCTGAAGCCACACTTTAGCACACTGACAGGAGAGGGAATGCCCACGGGGATTAGATATGCCAACAGGCCGAGTCGCCGAGACTGAGGAAGGTATTTAGTCTTTGTGCGGGAATTCTGGGCTCACGATCAAAGTTGGTTTTGAGCACCAGGCCTGGGTAGGTGGGCGCTCACAGTCTGGAGCTACTAACTCACACAGAGCAAAGGCAGAGAGCCCACCGAGAGAGGCCCCGTGAGCAGCAGGCCCAGCAGCAACCTTGAAGGCCAAGGGCGAGTGTGATGGGACAGAGGGACGCCCTATGCAAAACAGGAGCCTCGGAGGGGGTGCACTATTCAGAGCCCCTGCCCGCTACCCAGAAGGCCCGCTGTGGGAGCACAGCAGGAGGACATGGGTCTCTAAGGGGGACAGGGGGACCCTCCCAGGACAGGAGAAGGCGAACCAACGCCTTGCTTGGTGCCGCCTGTCTGGACTTCGGCAGAGGAGAGCGTGGCTAGGGACAACCTCTGTTGCTTCTCCACCTCTCTTGACTTATGTCAATACTATTCCTTCTTTTCTGGTGTTCTGCAGGGAGAGCGGGCTGGAACAGGTGTCCCTGTGGCAGATCACACACTGCCTTCCACCACAGCCACCTGTGACATACCTGCCCAAATGCACGCATTCCCGGCGTATACACAGACGTGTCTACGTGTATACATTCCCGACGTGTGCACAGAGATGCCCGGTGTCCTAAGGTAGGAGTTGAATAAATACATCCGTGTGGGAGCCAAGGACCCAGACACGGGGAAAGGTGACGTGATTTGCACAGACCAAGCTCCACAAAACGTCTCCTGTATCACATCTTCTGTAAGTTGCCTTTTCCCCAAGTTTTCTTAGAAAAAGGCACATGTTGAGGAGGCTTCACATTAATTAAAGACAAAAGTTTCAGCGTTCTGAGAGCACCAGAGATTACGGTCACATCGTGGGGAGTAAACTGACGCCAGGAGCTCATGGGGGTGCTGCTGTGTTCCTCACGGCGGCTCTGAGGCCAAGCACCTCCTGAATCCCGTACCGTTTGGCAAAAGCTGACAGACAGGAGGGCAGAGCCGGGGGAATTTTCTATGGATTAGCAAAATACAGGTGACACCTGACCGAAAGCATGCAGACAGAGGAAGTCAGGCAGAGACTTACTTGGCAGTAATTTCTTCATCGTATTTGGTTTTCAGGTCAAATAATTCTGTTCGGGTTTTTTCCAGGGCTGAAAGGCAGAGGACACAAAGCCGTAATGTGAGATGCCAGTTGTCCGAATTAAATTAAAAAAGCGAAAATATACAAGCAATATATTCTCATCTGAGGAGTCGAAGATAATGCAAATGCACAGAAGTTCCAAAAACCCATTCTTTTCCATTTCATCCACACACCTCCTGGGAGAGAAGGCCGGTTACTGGCTCGGTGTGCAGATTTCCTGCCTTTATGTGTATTTTATTGCTTAAAAAAATATTTCCATACATAACCGCATGTGTACATATTTTCACCTCTGCATAAATAGGAGGCTACAAATACATTCTGAGACTTGTTCTTTTCCTTTAGCAGAAAGGCATGAAAAACTCTCCAGGTCAGGACATAGGCAGTAACAATTAGCTTTCGTACAGAGCTTGCCAAATGCCCGGCACCTCAGGACCCGCAGAAGCGAAGGTTCTGGGGTAAGGATACTTAGATACTCCAAAACAGGCCACTCCCACCCAGCTGGCTCCCCCCCCAGAGGCAATTTACATTCCCATCAATACCGCGAGTGTAGCAATGGTGCCTCTACGCTCACCAACACCGGATAGTATCAATTAAAAAAAAATTCTTTTGACAGTCTGACGGGCAAAACGATCTTTCCCTGATTTAATGAGCATCTCCCTGCCTGGGAAGAATGGTTAACTTTTTTTTTTTTTTT